TCTCAGAGATATAGACAGATATATAGAGAGACATAGACATAAATGCCAGAGTGTCCAACGGCCAAAACGTTGTAAATATGGCAATGAAGATGAGGATAACAGTCCAAATAATGTAAATAATGCCTCATCTCAGAGATATAGACAGATAGTATAATCTTTTTTAAACATATATTAGTGAAGGCTTAGAAAAGGGATTGGTTAGTATAACATTTATTGGTGGAGAAAGCAGAATCTGTGAGTCAAATTCTGACTTAGTTGCATTAAATTTTGCACCAATACCCTTGGAAACGGTATGAATGCATATCTTTCCCCACCAGTTATGGGTTAAATAGTAGGATAAACTGAACTCTTTGACCTTGGGCAGCAACCAACCAAAGAGAAAGAAAACTGAATTCCAAACCATGAAAAAGACAGCAGGAAACAACTCCTTTATCTTTCTCAGGAAGTTATGTTAATTTAATGAATAATCTCATTTGTAATCACAACCTTGAGTCACTTTCTAAGTAGTTATTAGCTTTAAACACTCTTCTGCTAGTATGTTTGATGACTCTTTATGGGAGATTTTATATTCATTCAAATTACTCAGCTGATGAATATAAACATCAGTTTTTCAATTGGGTTCAGATCATTTCAATAGGTTGATTTTTCCTTATTTTTCTCTGGTTATGTTGACAGAATGATTAAGATTTTAACCTTAGAAAAACACCCAATTGCATGTCATAAGACTTTGTCAATTTCTAAACATATTTTTAATAAAGCAAATATAATTTGATAATAGCTTATGAAAGCCAGCAGCACTCAGAATTTGAATGCTATTTATACAATCTCAATATTAATGTCAAACAACTTGTCAGAATAAAAGAAAATGTTAATAAAAGAATCCTTAACAAAAAACTTCTATTAGTCTTTAATAATACATAAAAGGAAAAGTAGACCTTTTCTGAACTGTGTCACTCTCTGTAGCTGAATAGTAAAGCATACTTGATCATTTTATATAATAAAAGATATTAAAAATATATATTTATTAAAAATTTCAGACTCTTTCTCATGCTATTAGGTAATAACAAAAAGAATTTTGTTTTTACAGAGCTTTACTTCAAGGCTTATTTCATATATATATTTGTTGGATTTGTAAAATTTGCCTGTACCAATAGATAGAGATTGGTCACATGATGTTAGGTGGTCTCTCATTGGTTAATAAAATCACATGGGTTCAGAAAAAGCTCACCATCACTAGAGAGAAGGGACTGGACATGCTCTGAAGTAACACATAAGAAATTCTCTCAGCCACAACGGTACTAGTTGCCAAGAGTTTTAAAGGTACAAGCTATCTACCTCTATTTCACTCACCAGATGGGTAAGTCAATGGTACCAATTGCCAAAGGTTTTAAAGGTACAAGCTACATAGCCTTATTTCATTCCCCCAGATGGGTAAGTCTGTCTGACATATTCTCTATATATAGGAAAGGATATTGTATTTAATCATTATATTCATGTTTAGGTGTAACAAAGTAAAGTGGAGCTAGCACAATACATTTAAAGATTATGACTTCAGTATATTATTTCTATGTTATTAATATTGTTTATTATGTTAATAATATTGTTATTATACAGGGTGTATAACCTCCCAGATTATGACTAATTTGGAAAGGGCACAGGTTTAGGCTAAATCTGTAGAATCTTTTCTGCACTTACAAAGAACTGGATGATAGAAAATTCTATGGGGCTAAATAGTCAAGCTTATGTTACAAGTCTTTAATATTGAAAAAGCACATACATTTTTGGGAAGGTTTGTAAAGTGTTTTTCATGCCAACAAAGAATTGGATTATAGAAAAATGCATGATGTTAAATTTTGTCATGTTTCAAGCCTTACATATCATCTACAGCAGATGACAAAATCTAATTCTTTGGCAATGAAGCAGACAAACATTTTGGATGCTTTAGGAATGCCCAAATATTTTCCCCATTTAAATTAATAACAATTGCTTTGTCAAATTACCTGATTTTCAATAGAAGTTAAAATCTTTGCTAATGTGGGTCTGTAGGAATATTATTAATATTATTATTATTATTATTATTATTATTATTAAAATAAATAAAAATAAAATAATGATAATAATGAAAATTATAAATGAAATAAAATAAAACAATAACATAAAAACATTGTATAAAATAAATTAAATAAAAATTAAAAATAATAAAAATACTCCCAGCATGCAACAAAAACTGTTCCTGCCAGAAATAGGGACAAAAGACTTTAAATTCAATTTCTTCACCACAAATCTTGGTACAAGTAAATGTGTCCAACTTCTCTCTGTGATATTGCTTGTAATATTATGGAGTAAATTTCTCCCTTTTATCACTTGTCCCTATAAAACAATTGTAACCTTCCACATTTTATAGGTTGAAAAAAAGGCTAAGACAAAAACTTATTTATTTATTTATTTTAATCTTTTCACCCCAAGCAAGACAATAAAGCCACTAAGATGCAAGTGGTTACTAAGAATGAATGAATCTGAGAAAAAACATTATTGAGGAAAGAGGACAATAAAAAAACAGAAATTATGGCAACATTGCATTTAAATTTTTGAAGATCAACGTTCACTAGGAAACAAGAAACCAAAAGATAGTTCCACAAGCAAGAAGCGCAAGTGAAGAGAGACCCATAGCATAGAATTTATGGTTACATCTAGCAGTTTAAATTTTTATAAAAGATGATTAAATTAAAAGAATACTTTTTGAAAATTATATTTTCTAAACAATGTCTTCTATTCTCAACACAGTTGTTGCTGATTTTTTCAAGTTTTCCATATTCTGAAAAGACATTTTCTACTGTATTTCTGTAATTTTTTGGCATATAGCTTATTGTCACAGCACACAGATGAAGTTGTTTTTGTCACTTGCAAAGAGAGCAGCATTTTCAAGAGCATTCTGAAGGACATATTCACAAAATACCACATGGTTTTTTAAGTCTTGATCAAGTCCTTAAACAATCATCATTTTGTGTGGATGGAACTTTACATCAATATGTAAAATTCTTCTGATAGTATGACAGTCCTAAATCAGAAATATATCTATGGGATGGACATGCCAGGTGATTGAAAAACAAATTGTCCCACAAATTCAATGCTCCAAGGTGTTTTTTCTTTATTTCTGAGATGAGGTATTATGTACATTATTTACATTATTCGGACTATTGTCCTCATCTTTGTCATCATATTTAAGTGTACAACAGCTGAAACATTGTAATAAATATGGCGACAAAGATGAGGACAATTGTCCAAATAATGTAAATAATGTGTTTTTTCTTTTATTATCAATGGCCTTTAAATTTTCTTTCTGTAGCAATATTAATTTTCTGTCTCGGAAAACATCATTTCCATTTAGCCCAAAATGAAGATGAAAATATTGTATTGTCACAATCACAGATTCTCCATTATAGATGTTACAGCATAAAACACATGATGTACACTGATCCAAACAATAATCGTCTCTAAAGAGAGACGGTAAAAATAAACTAAAGAAGGGATACAAAACAAATGGTGAAACATTAGCTACATAAAGATATCATTAACACTGACCTAACTTCACTAACACCACACTAGTAACTTTGTAAAATGTGGGAGGTTTTACTGGCACACCCTGTATATATCATTGTTCATATACTTCAGCTACATGGGTACATGGTCAAATGGTTAGAACATTTGCTTTCTGACCATGAGAACCAGGTTTGAATCTAACCACGGTTGAATTGTCATGAAGGAGTCTTCCTGATGTTATTTGACTGGAGAAGGACAATCCCAGCATGTGGCACCTTTGGAAAGTGCTTAAAAGTTGACCCAAGCTTTCTGAGTGAAATTGGGTAGATGGAACCTCTTGGGGGCCGTTGATGCCTGTGCTAGCACAAAGTCATAAGTCATCGTGACCAAGGGTTTGAGTGTGCTGGTGTTGTTCCGAGTGTTGATCATGCTAGATAATACGCTCTCTCCCAGAAACTGTGACTACGGTCTGCTCAGCATAGTTGCAGTATAAACCACAGGTTGGTTTTGTGGATGTTGAGTAAACACAAATGTGCCTGAGCAAACGTCTGCAATAGGGATTGGTTAGCTGCCCTAGTAGACGGGTATCCTCAAATACGAGTGGCCAGCTATTATTATACTTCAGCTGTACCTTTTGTTTCAGATATTTTAATAGCAGATAAAAATGTTGAGATTTTAGAAATGCTGAGGCCTTGTTTTAAATTACGGCTCAGAGCTGCTGGAGATGATTGCAAGATTTGGAAAGCAAAAAGAAATTTAATAATATTTAATCATATTGCCCAAAAATGGTTTGAAAATTTTAAGGATGGTGACTGAATTCTTGAAATAAAGTCTGAAATTTAGCAATGATGCTTTCAAGTACAAAACAAGACAACCATTACACCTGTGTTTGGAAACTTTCTAAGAAGAAAAAGTGTGTTTTTTTAGCATCCATGTGATAGAAAATGGAAATTAGGAGGATAAGGGGGATAGATAATGATTGAACCTTGACTTAAAGAGGTCAAGATGAAAGTGTTCCGAGAAGTACCCATGTGGGAGTCTGTTGCACAAAGTGGCAATTCTTTGAAAAAAATGTCTCAGTGGAACTTTCTTTTTACATTAGAAACATGGAGAAATTTCCTGTTAAAAAAATCAGATGGAATTTTCTGGATTGACTATTTTTCAGTAAATCCTTATGACAGGCAGTAGAAAAGCTCTGTACAAAGTATACACACCCTTCTCAGGTAATTTGTTAATATTTTTTCTCTTTAATTAATATCAATGATTTTGTTGCAACCAAAACTCTCCTTTTATCAATTTATGAATAGAGGTATTTTTATAACACTTAAATGCAAAAATGATGTCATGTATTGACTTGTACCGGATGTAATGGCTGTGGAAGTAATGACTGGACTTTTGATGAGGTGTACTAGGACGTGTCAGAGGGTCTTATAAACAAATGAGGAAATTTTATAAACAAGTTTTGAACATTTCATTTTGACTGCCTCACCCAATATCACTTGCTTTCTTTCTTTCTTTCTTTCTTTCTTTCTTTATTTCTTTCTTTCTTTCTTTCTCCCCTTCTTTTCTATTCCCCCTTTCTTTATTTGGTCTACTCATTCTTTCAATCAATCCTTTTTCCTCTGGTTTCCTTTTTGTCTCTGTTTTAATATGGTCTTATTGTCTATTTTATCTATCTATCTATCTATCTATCTATCTATCTATCTATCTATCTATCTGTATATATATATATATATATATATATATATATATATATATATATATATATATATATATATATAAAAGAGAGAAAGAACAAATGGAGTAAAATTCTACTGTTCATAGCATTTACTTTTAAAAAAAAGTACTCAATACAAATTAGAGCAATTGTAACAATATTTAACATGGCATACAGATGAAAAGGGTTAAAAAAGGATTTTATTGTTTTTCATCAGAAAGGGACTCATTTTCCCAGGATATTGAGAACAAGTGTACAAATTCTGTGGAAAAAGATACAAAATACGATTGTTACTGTTCATCGAGACACAGCTGGCAGTTTCAGGGGCCAGAGGTTAGAGCCATCTGTAGAAGGGTATCAATGTCTACGTAATGGGAAAATTATTAACCAAAATTTCTCTGAGAAAGAAAATTATAATTGTGAAGACAGAATAAGCAATTGAGGGAGACGTCAGGAAGACTGACGTCATATAATGGCTCCTCCCAGAGGAGGGGTGATCTTCCAAAATTGGAAGTGTGAAACAGAGAACGAAAGAAGGAGACTAGTTGAATTTTAAGATATTTGCATACCCCCCACCCCTTATGCTCATTCACCATATCAGTTGGAATGGACACCCATAACTACAAGTGCCAACGGGGCTAAAGTAGTTGGAGTTGCGGTCTGGAGTTGCGGCGAGTTACGCAGAAGGGGAGTTGAGAGATTTTTGTCATTGCGCAGTTTTGCCAACCTAATGATGGCAATAGTGGTAGTTATCTGCTGGGGAGGGACTTGGATGATGTCCATGTATCATCCTTGAAGGTACGGTCGATAGTGCTTGAAGTTAAATCCAGTTGTCGCTAAAGAAAGATTCCAACGATATCCTTGTGCCATCCTTAAGGGTGCAGTTGACAGTACTTGAAGAAATCCAGTTGTTAAGTCTGGCCATCCTTAGAGGAGTTAGCCAAAATTTTCGTTCCGTTGCCAAATATTAGAAACGGGTTGGGAAAAGAAAGAAAAAGAAAAAAGAACTGTAGATATTTTTTATTTTGATATAAATATCATTGAGTGACTTATTCGGGCGTCGTTTGTTTTCTTTTCAATTTTGTGTGCGTGTATTCAACTCCTTGGTTTAGCTTGGTTGAGATACCCCAGTGATAATTCAACTTGACCCTCTTAAGATCAAAAAATCACGTGGGTAAGAGAGGTCACAGTTGAAGAGGTCAACTTAAAGACCAACTGCTGTGTTAAATGCCACCAACGACTGGCAAGTGTGGGCTGACGGCTTGTTCTCCAATACCAGGATCGATCCTGACCAAAGACAGCAGGCCACAGCCCCGGCTACGCCACACAATATATTATTATTATTATTTTTATTATAAGCAATTAGAACAAAAACATATTGAAATTTTCTTAAAAATCTTTTAATCACCAGTTGCTTACCATTGCCTGAAGAGGCACAACAGTGCTGAAACAAGAAAGCTGTTGTGTGGCGATTTCGAAATGTTTTTGTTCTAATCTCTTATAATAATAATAATAATAATAATAATATATATATATATATATATATATATATATATATATATATATGTAAATTGGAGACTGAGGGGCAACAGTCTGTTTCATGCTTGACTGCAATCTTCAGGTCACGTATGTTGTGCGGTCACTTAACTGTTTATAAATGCTAGTCAATGGGGCATTATAAGCAAGATGTTGTATTTTCTGTTTATGATATAATCCTAGCATGAAACAGACTGTCGCCACTTGGTGTTAACTTCAGTTTCCACCTTTATACACATTCTATGCTTGGTATTGACCACTTTTACTCATAAATATGACATACCTTAAATCTATATTTTTAATATATATATATATATATAATTTTTCTAACAAGATTTCTCGAATATTCAGTCTGGTAGATGTAAATAAATAAATATACTGCTTAATAAGTAAATAAAATAGACCATTTACTCAAATATGAGTATCCCTTTAAAATAATGTTTAAATAAATAAATAAATATATATAATATATAATCTAGTTGCTCTCCAGGGAAAGGAAGAAAACACAAACTCATCCACCATTCCTCCCTGATGATAAAATACAAATGTATTTTGTGACAGTGCCTCAGTTTCTCTCTTTAAAATTTTATAAGAAGAAATAAATTTGACGACTCATATTAAGAAAAGCTGACTGTTTTTTACTCCCCCCCCCAACATCTGTGAATGTCATGTGAACTAATTTTAATGCAAGAAAATATCCATCTACCAGTGAGCCACCACGTCTGGAGTCAATGAGCTCTCCATTGGTAATACCCTGGCAACAGGCCTGTTTCTGGACCCCTGTAACTTTCCTTAAGCAAGTAATGGCATTTTTGTGTTGTTAAGTTTCAGACCCTTGTTATAAGACAATTTCCTTTAAAAGAAAATCATATACATATAGCAGTTTGTTAAAAATATAATTAATTTTAACTGATTTCAACGTGAATTAGGGATGATTATTTTTCACAGCTTGTTTTGCTATCAGTGAAACTACAGCTACTCCCACCAATGGATGCAAAAACATCTGCTTTCTATCTTACATGTCACCTTCTACTGCACACAACTAATTTTACTAATAAAAATATCCCATGAAGAATTTATTAAACTAAAATAAGAAAATGGCTGAAGTCATAAGCTTGTATTAATTATGCATAAGTGTTTACAGAGGGAGAAAAGTAGGGAAGGAAAAGAAGCTGTAGAAGTAGGAGAAAAGAAATGTTAGGCTTTTTGTTACAAGATATTAAATTGAAAAACAATGATTCATTGAACAAAAGAAAGCATCAATTACAGTTGTGTTTTCAACAAGGATTTTCCGGAGTTGTGTATGTGGCCAGGCATATTGTTTTAAATGCCTAAAAATGTTAGAGTGTTTATTCAAACATGGCACATGGAACTAGAACAGTCTACCCCAGTGAACGAAATAAAGGGTTCAGTTCGACATTCCGACCACCTGAAGAAGGCCAGAGTGTACAACGGCCGAAACGCTGTAATAAATATGGTGACAATAGTTCGAATAATGTAAATGTAAATAATGAAGATTTTTCAATCCACTCTGACTATAGCTGATAAAATAGCTCTAATCTTTACATTATTTTATTTGCAAATTCTTCTCCATTTTATTATTTATTAATTTAAAAATGAAGTAAAAATCAATTACAAATAAAATTTCCAATCAAAAGACAAAAGGAGATTCATATTCCTAATTTAATTTCTCTTCACATGATTGTAGAAATACTAAAAGTGATTATCTCCATTTGGTTAAGATGAAGTCACATGGGTGACATAACAGCCATTTAATAGTGTGATTAAAGGGGCCAGTTTATCAGTTAGCTGTCTGGAGTCAAGACATACTAGTTGTTCATTCTATCTGGACCAGCCAGCTGCCACATAGTGCAGCTTACAAGCTCATGGCACCTTTTTCATTTTGAAAATATATCTTTACCAGATATAGAAACTATCTCTGGCTTGCAGTTTTCATGTTTAAAAAAAACAATGGTTCACTGTTTCTTGTTTGAGAGGAATATGTCCTCACTAGTGATATAGCAGATAAATCTGGTCTGCTTGAATCTGGAATACTAAATAAGGCTTCTCCAGAAGCACAGCAAAATCTCTGGCAACTCCAGTAAGAAGTAAGACTCTATTGTTTCCTCACATTTTTACACTGCTTGTTGTATAGACATGTGTTATAGTTTCTCTGCATCTAACATGTAAATATGTGTAACTTATTTTGTATACGACTTAGCCACATAAAACTCTCTCTGAGAACAAAGTATGTTTGTCATTCCTTTTCTTTCAGTTAGTCTATTCCATCTCTGAAATAAGGTATTATTATAACATAGATATAATAATGCCCATAATGGGGGAAATGCAAATGGGAGAATATTCCTTTCTACCATAGTTCACCCATTATCTGATGACTTACCCAATGTGATGCAATATTATTAACTTCTATTAATGATCTGCCAAAACATTGTAATAAATATGGGGACAAAGATGAGGACAATAAATAGTGTTCTATTAATGTATCACATACTTGGCAAAATTATTATTTAGCTCCATTATGATCAATGAAAAAAATAATATCAAAGAAATTTAATTGAATTTTGTCATCACTTTCTCAATTCTAAAGCTAAATGTTTTCCAATTTCAAAAAATGATTTTGTATCCTTTTTCTCTACAAAGATTATCCATTATCTAAATAGTTGTATCATGTAAACTGGGAAAGTTAGAAGGTTTGGCATTTGTGCATATTTTAGGTGGTGCATGTTCAATACATAAACAAAGAAGATAGAAGCATACAAAAATTTGAGTTTTTACTACAGACGTTTATTCTTTTAGTGGAATAATGCCTCTTGGATATGTTTATTTTCTTCTTGGTTAAGAAGTAAGTTAGTATAAAAATGGCTAAGATAGTCAATCTCAAGTTAGCTTTACACTGAGCTGGAACGAGCAATTCACTACTTCCTGATTAGGGCTGCCAAAACATGTCCAAATGATGTCGTTGAAAAGTGGAAAGAGAAACATTCTTTCATTTTGAGAAGTGGGTTTATAAAATTGTGCATGTGACCAGAAATCTTTTCCAATCTTTATAACCTTCATCTTAGGAAAATAAATTTATTTTTTATTTTTTACTATTATTCTATTTATTGATTTTATTTCATTTTCCAACAAAAATGGCTGGATATATTTCATTATGTTGTCTACACAACAACTTGAATTTCAGAACTTTCTTTTTTTGACCACTATGTCTCTCATTTAGACTTTTGTGGCTTTACATCAAATTATGGCTAAGCATTGATTTTTGAAATAACATTAGGACAAACAAGAAAAGAAAATGGAGAAAAAAAAATCATTATAAGAGAACCGGTTCCACTTCACATCTGCAGTTGCTGTTTTTTCTCCTGCTGTGTGGTTGATTCAGTTTGTTTGCAGTTTGCTTCCTTGGTAACCCCTTCTCTTCTATCTCCCTTTTCCTCTCTCTTCTCTTCTATCTTCCTTTTCCTCTTTCTTCTCTCCTGTCATTCCTTTTCTCTTTTCTCTTGACGCACACAAAATTTCTTTCTCTTTTTCTCTCCCTTCCTCTGCATTTTTTATTTAAAATTATAGTAAGAAAAATGTATTATTATTATTATTATTATTTCTGTTGTTGAGTGACTAGTAAGGTACAAGCATTTATCTGCAGTCACAGTTGGATTCTACATTTGGTGAAATGACCCCCTATATTTCAAAACCCTTTTTGGATTTTTGGAGGCCTTTTCTTGTTATTTATTTCTGATTCAACTTTCAAATTGACAAACAAGTTTTAAATCACACAGAAGTAGGATTTCCACTCTCAACAGAGGTATAAGAAGAGGCCAATATAAAAAGGATTCCTTGTCTTATCAGATGAATTATCAAATAACCCTAAAACAGACATTTTTATCTTTAAGATAAATGGGATGTATTGCTTATAAGAAATATTTTTATCACCAATTCTGAGGATTTTATCAGTTACCTCCTTCGTCAAACAATGAAAATGTTTTTAACTGAAAGTAAGTATTATTAATCTTGTATTCACTGGGTTTTCACACTAGTAATAATTTAGTAACTTTCACTGGGATCAAGCGACAACAAGTCTCTCCAATGCACTCTCATGCTCTTCAGTATTCCAATTGATTGTAGAAATGTTGTTGTCTGATTTTTCTTATCTTTTTTTCTTGCAAGGCACTTCAGGACTGTTTTAAGCACACCGATAATGATGGTCATAATTATCTTATTTTTGTTCTGCCTTTTCTTTCTCAGTTCTTTGCAAAGATCAAGATATTTGTTTAATTGTTCATTATGAGTGAGATGTAATGTGGCATTTGAATATAAAATAATTAAGAATATGAAATCAATTTAAATCTTTGACTGATCATGGGAAAAGTAATCAGTTGAAACATGTTCCAAAATTCAATAAGTTTTCAGAGAATCTGTACAGTAAACCATGACACTTTTCTAGAGGTTTACAATTTTTGGTCTCAATTCCAATTTCATTATTATTATTATTATTATTATTATTATTATTATTATTAACATTTAATTTGTTGTAGTCATGAGATACTGGGATTAGAGCTGTCCTTTATAAATTACTATCATTATTATTAATATAATTATTACATAATATATTATTACTATTACTATTGTATTTAATACTAATATAGCATAGTACCTATAAAAAATGCTGGGTTAATTTATGCATGAATCTGTACTTCTCCCTAGGATCAGAGTGTAGTATCTCTACAACCTATGAAAGCTGTTACACCTCTTAATACAACTATTGACTGAGTGCATGAGTTGAAAAGAGTATGGAATTCAACACTGTGTAGTATATATTCCAGAAGCTAAGCAGAGTATTAAGAAACAAAAAATTTTGTTAGCAACAAAGAAAAGAGTACTGAAGTGTTATGTATATATCAGCCTTCCTTATATGGTTGTGAATGCTGGACAATCTCTACACAGAGGAAGAAGCAACAGAACTGTGGTTCTGCAGAAGGATACTGAGAATACCATGGACCGAACATGTGAGAAAATGGAAACAAGAAGGAAACTTATACTTAAGATCAGGAAGAGACAGATGAGATTACTTGGGCACATAATGAGGAAAGTGGGCTTGGAAAATCTGATACTCACAGGACAGATTGAAGGCAAGAGGGACAGAGGAACTTAGTTTGCTTGAGTAAATGTAGAACAGAACAGGGTTTAGGAGAAATAAAAAACAGAAAAAATTTATTAAGAGCTACAAAGGACAAGAAGTTGTGGAGAGTCATGATCTCCTACATCCTGAGGGGAGATGACACATAGAAAAAAAAGTAGTTTTCTTAGTAAAGTTAGTGTTTGGTGGGAGTGACTCCCTGCTTGGTTGTGTGGCGTACCTGATACAGTGAAAATAGATCAGTCCAGTGTTACTGAATGATTTCTGTTGCCAGTAAATGACTTGAAATGAGAATTACACTTGAAGAAGGCAGACAGAAAGATTGGCGGCCGAAACATTCTGTTAACAACAGCAAAACGAGATTTTAGTATATGAGTAATGTTGGAGATGTTAATAGAAAGTCATAGATAACATGCTGTTGTGTAATGAAAAAAGATCTTATATATAATCTGAACAAAAATAATCATTATTAGAAACAGAGTTTAACAATTGCTTTGATAAATCTGCATAATTTTGAACAAAAAGGTGACAGTTTACGGTAAAATAAACAAGAAAATAACTGATTAATGAAATAAAAGAATTGTTTTGTACCTGATAAAAGATTTGTAGTATTTATTTATAAAGCAACTTCAAAAACAACAACATGATATTGCATTCTATCTTATCATTAAACTTTTCTTTCATTCAGTCTAACTCAGTGACAGATATTACTTCACAGCTGAACTGAATGATTTGGGAACAATGAAAGGTTTCTTTCACAGCCTTTTAGGGCTTAAGGTTTACCTTCTCATCTGCTTTACAATACTGAGGATTGGCTATGTTTATGGAGAAGGTAAGTGGATTTTTGTTCAATTAATTTGATTCTTTATAAACTGTTTTCTATTTCGCTGCATGATTTACAGTTACTTAGAAGGCAAAATATAGACAACTTAGGAGTTTATGTTTGTTATAAACCAGGATTGGACCATAAATTGTGAAGAGGAGTCACAGTGTGTGATTGAAAGGATGGAAAAAAATTGTAGCTAATGGAAGGTACACAAGTTGATACCCGATCAGTATCGGTTGGGTCACCATGGAGAGGGGGTATGATGTTGAAAGACCTGAAACCCCTAATGATCCTCAGCTACAAAGGACAAGAAGTTGTGAAGAGCCATGATCCCTTCTGTCCTAAGGGGAGATGAGTGGATTTTTGTTCAACTAATTTGATTCTTTATAAACTGTTTTCTATTTCACTGCATGATTTAAAGTTAGATAGATGACAAAATATAGGAAAGATTGCATTTGTTATAAAATATTAGGAAAAGGATTTTTAAATAAGATTTGAAATGAAATTGTGTTAAGTTTGGCCTTAATTTTGACATAAAATAAATTCTTAAAGTTATTACTGCATTTAAAAAAAATGGAATCTCCCATTGTAGATAAACGTGGGCAATTAACCCATGCCTCCCAGGAACCTCAAATTACACCTAGGTGGTGGAAGGAAGCAAAAACTCCCCACTGGACCACTTTTTTGCCATGACACATCTCCCTACAATGTAATTGGGTCAGGCCACTCAGTTCCTAGGAACTGACAGCCAGACTACCTGCACGTATGATTTCATTATAGTGGTGAAGGTTTTGTGTAGAACCAACCACACTTACTGGTATGTAAAACCCACCTATTTACATTTAATATTACAATATTATGTAGTTTGGCTAGGTACAAACAATTATAATATACAATGTCTGGGTAAACATTATCCTGTAAGATACATCAACTTCACATATAAGACTTCCCCATTCAGAAATAAACAGTTGAAATGTTGTGATACAAAATAAGGAAAGTGGGCTTGGAGAATTTGACACTCACAGGATATATTGAAGTCAAGAGGGATATAGGGAGTAACCTTATGTAACAAGCTTATGTAAATGGATGGCAGAACAGAAAGTGGAAAGGATGGTAAAAAAAGCAAACATTGTTAAAACCCCCAAAGAACAGGAAGTTGTGGAGAACCATGATCGCTGACATCATGAAAGGAGATGGGTCATAATAGAAGAACATTTAATCTAGGTACAAGCAAAGTTTTCAGATAAGCATTAATCTACAAGATACTTCAACTTTACTTAGGAAGGAGATAATTTTATTATCTCATTTGGGAGGGGTGAAAAGATGTGTGTGGGGAGGATCTTATAATAAATATTTGTAAGATGGGGATTTGCCTAGTCTTATTATAATTCTCTTTGTCCCTTCTTTAAATATCATGACCATTACGTCCTGCCAATACCTCATAAATAATAGACTATTCCATTTCATTGATAGAAAGATTGAAAAGACATAGAGGTACTAATTGGTTTCAGTGAGAAAAAGAAAGAAAGAAAGAAAGAAGAGAAGATAGAAGTCTGTTTCAGTGAAATGGAAAAAGTCGTCAATTTCAAATCTTTTCATTTGTACCCCCTTACTTCTTTATATAAAGACCCACATTCACATTTATGATTGTTATTGCAATATTTTGTTAAAGTTCTTAAGCTCAAATATTTAATGATGCAATAGGGGAATTTCAAGTGAGCTTATTCAATCATTAACTTAAGAATTAAGATTCATCAGGAAGTTCAAATGTGAAAACTTAAATTTTCATGGCTATTTCTAGTTCTATTTAATAACAAAGGAATTTAATAGAAGAGAAATATGTTCCGTTATGATCTAAACAGAAAGATGTCCTCTTTCCACTTGGTGCCCTTTATGGTCCATCATCATCATCATCATCATCATCATCATCATCATCATCATCATCATCATCCGCTTGACTTTTGTAATCATAGGGTGGATCCGAATACAGAAGCCACACGAACTCTTTTAATATTTTAATAGTGAAAATCCGTTAATAATAGCTGCATTTAGCTGTAAGTCTTTAATGACTGGACCAGAAGAAGAAAAAAGTTGCCCGTTGTGTTAATTTATAAAATCTAAAAAAAGGAGACATGGTTTTAAAAAAGAAAAACTTGAAGCAATGGTAGTAGCAGTGATAAAAAAACAAATATTTATTTTAGGTTACTTAAGTTAAATATTTGATATGAACTCAGTGAAATTCCAAGTGATTTTATAAGAAACAAGTTTTGCTCCTTTTTTTTTTAAATTTTATTTTTATTTTTATTCTTTAAATTAAAATTATTTTAATCCTTTAGCCTTATGTTTCATATAAAATATTTCATATATAGAATGCAATAAGTTAAAAAGTTTAAAAATTTGTCTTAAAAATGCTTTGGTTATAAATGAGTCAGATACAAGTTGTCATTTTTAAACTTGCTAAACCAGCACAGACATTTTCTTTTTTTTCCAGTAAGGTTCATCCTGTACCAGGCCCAGTGGCCACTTGTGGCAGAAGGTTACATT